CACTATATGCACTAGATGGTTAAACTAAAGAAGACAGAGCTGCCACAATGTTTACACTAAAGAGGGAGCCAGCTATCTTTCTCTCTCACACACACCTCCATTCATTCACTCACTCATTCACACACATTCATTCCCGCCCTCAGGCACTTACACGGGCATATGGGTTGCAGAATGAGCAAAGGCATGTTGGTTCTGGAGGGTCTGTCTGCTCATCATGGTTGGGGAGCTGGTCAGGAAAGACACTGGCTGTAGAAAGAAGAGCTTCTCAGGAGGAGGAAAAAAAGACCAGGCTTCTGCCACATGCTCTCTCTCCTTATATGGTGTCTATATGACTCCTGTGATTCATCCACATCCTCACCAGGGAGCATGCCCAGACTTCACTTTATCCAGCAAAGCAGCAGTCTCTGATGACTCATCACCATGTGCCCCATGTGCCTCAACCTTGCAATATATACCACACACACATCGAACACACACACAGACACACACACACACTCACACCATTCTTCATTCACTCTGGGAGAAAGCAGTTTAGAGCAAGTTACAAGCAAGGTGGCTGAGTTACAAAGATTACAAAGTTGCAGCTTATAGTAAGTTTCTGAACTTATAAAGCAAAGTTGCTGAGAGTTATAAAGTTGCAAGATTTTACAAAGATTACGAGTTGCAAAGTTTGACAAAGATTACAATGAATTGCAGTTTAAAACCTTAGACCTTACAGTTTAGTGTATTTCCAGAAAATGTAAAATCAAATAAGTGTAAGTGTAAAATCAAATAAGCTTAGGCGGAGGCTTTTTTTATGCAACAATAGTGATGAAGGGTATGCATGTGTTCATTTTAAACAAAATGTGATTGGAAAGTAGGTATGCATAAAGAAGCATGCTGTGGCTCACCACCTTAGCAACAGCCTAGAAAAGGCCAAGGGGAGGAGGGTGAACTCAACATGTGAAGTGGAGAAGTACAAGCATGTGACAAACAAAGCCATATATGGAAAGGTTGAATCTGATTGGTTTAGAAGTTTGTGTTATGTAACCTGTAACTGCCATGTGCTATAAAACAGCAAGGGGAGGGGCTCCTTGCTCGAGGGGCTCTCCCTTTGTGCACATTGAATAAAGTCTTGTTGAACTGAATTGAATTGAATTGAAGACCCTTGATTCTGCCCAGCACCTGACTCTCTGGGAACCACAAAATCCCAACAGTGACTATAAAATTCAAAGGGAGATTAGAGACACTATCAAAATAAACAACTCAGTAATAGTGGGGGATTTCAACTATCCGACTGGGTTCATGTCACCTCAGGACAGGATGCAGAAGGAAATTTTCTTGATACCTCCTTAAATGTCTGCTTCTTGGAGTACCTACTAGAGGCTGGAAAATGGGATTCATTTGATGATTACCTGTTCTATTCACTCCCAAC